TGCCGATATATATGTAGGATATAGTTTAAATTTGGTTGGTTATAGAATAGTTACGATATACGAGCTACGAGCGAAAAAAAGAGAAGTAAGATAACCAGTAAATTTACCTAGGAAAATTAAGTTAACCCAAAGAGTTTTTTACAGTGTACTATCACAGTCAATTTGAATTATAACTAAAGAAACAGTTATACCCATCCCAGGTTGGGGTCTGTATTAGAACCAAATTTTGAACAGTTGAATTTTGCGGTGACCACTGTCTCAGTAAGAATATCTTTGATATACGACACATTTCCAATCCCTGAATGAAAGTCTGTACATCCACCACTTCCAACGCCAAACAGATTACCAAGAGCACGGTTTGCTTTTAATCTGTAAGACCTGTACACAAATGATTAGCAATGTTATGCATATGTTATGGTATGGTATATAGCATGACCATATAGTTTGGTATTTTGTGGTCTGGTATAGTAGATATGATGTTCTTTGTGATATTGTATGGTACGAATTATATGGTAGTGTGATATTATATGAAACGAATTATATAGTATGGTATGGTATGGTATGGTATGGTATGGTATGTTGTGGTATGGTGTGGTATGGTATGGTGTAGGCATAGTGAGGTATTGTACGGCATAGTATGATAGGCATGGCATGGTCTATATGTTTGGTATAACATTGTATGCTATGGTTTATACGGTATAATATGGTATAGCACTTGCATGCTACAGCACATACCAGTGTGCTTTTGTGTCTTCAAAATTTTTTGTGGTTGAAATTTGAATTGCAAAATCTTGTACATTGACGTCACCAAACTTGCTGGACCAATGAGGAGGTCCCAGTGGATCTACCGGACTCTCATTGGATGGCACGTTCCATGTGACTGGACTCTCTTTCATTCCCATCAACAAAAAACCTCCGCCGTCAGTGTGTGTGTCACACCACGCCTAAGGATTGATAAATTTATTGAGAAAACTCATTAATAATTTATGAAGAAAATTCAAAAATAAATGTTTAAAGTGCTTATCACACGAAATTTCATCTAATCTTAATACTTGATGCTGTGCTGAGTGGTTATATTACTACCTGAAAATAAAAACAAGCAGTTAGTCTAACTGCCTGTTTTTTTTTCAGGTAGTAATATAACCACTCAGCACAGCATTTTCACATTGGTACTACCCACACTGGCACAGACCAGGGCGCCCTGGTACACTTGGTACAGACAGTCTTTATACTTGATGGCATTGCAAAGATCACTTAAAATGACTATATAACCACGTTGGTGGAATAGCGAGAGAATCCGAGATATTCAACTTTGTTTGATATGCAAATGTCATATCAGTATGACATGATTGACATCACACTGCATAATATCAATGAGATTTTTGAAGAGCATCATTAATATATTTTGAAACCAGAATACTAGAATACCTTTGATAGTTTTCCCTTGTTGTCTTTTATCCAATAGAAACCATCTTTGACTTCGGGAAAATTGTCTACTATATCAGAACAATCTTTTGCGGGATTGAAGTTTTCACCAATTGTGGAAGAACCTAGAGGATACAGTCATTTTTAATCAGTGTGGTCACGATACTTCGTTTTTGTTCAAAACTGAAACGACACGCATATTTAATCACCAAGGCCTGTTCATGTGTGCAAGGTTGCCGCGGGAAGCTCACAAGAGCGGGGTCAATGAATTCTGTGCTGATATGACTGGTTTTTTTTATCCCACCCAAGGGTCACCTAATATCCGGCCTCGCGGTGGGACGACATTAATGTAAATTGCATGGCGTCTTCGAAATATTACTGCATCATCTTGTATTACGACTCTAATAGTGTCCCACTATTTTCCAACTATGCCCGTTCAATACTATATTATAGATCAAAATCGGCAAGAAATGTTCATCCTGTTCGGATAAGATATAGCTTTAATATGGAAAAATTATCATATAAACACAAATTGAATTTTTATACGTTAACAAATGGCATGAGGATCTCACTCTGTTGCAGGGTTTATTTTAACGTGCAGTTCTACACAAAATGTGCAATACTAAACTTATTTGTGCAGTTCTTAAAACACAAATGCGCAGTCACCAAACTAACAAAAGTAGCCTTAAAACAGTCTTCTCATTTACTCGTTACCCTTGTGGATGCTCCAGAAAATTCCAGAAATGCTGTCATTGAGCATCAAAAATATAAACGTTTTCTGTGGGAGGACTCCAGCACAAATCACTCTCAGCACAAATCACTTATGTGCTGAGGTAATGGAAAAGAAGGTAAAATTGGGGCGAGCGAAGGTCTCCAAAAGTGATTAGAGTGCATGGGAGAACCTAATATTCTTTCCTGCCTGAAATGCAAATTAAAGTTTATTATATATTGAATAACCATGATTTCCAGTTACATGTTTTGAAACCTTCTTAATGAGTGGTTGGGTAAAACAAATCTTTTCCAGAACTTAAGAGCCTTTAGATTCAAATTATTTTGGGGAACACCCCCCTCCCCCCCGCACACACATTCTCCCACCCATAACCACACTATTATTCTGTCACTTATCAGTGCAGGTAAAAAGTTCTTTGACACCCCCCAGTCAAACACTCGTTGCTTTCGTAACATCCCTATATGTGCAGTTCTAACTTTTTCTTAAAATAAACCCTGGTCTGTTAAGTTTCCCGGTTAAGCTGGAATGTCAGCAACAAAATTGCTGCAACTTGCAACAAAATCTGATTTCAACGTATGTTAAGTAGAAATGTTGACATATGTTGCCTCGTGATTTGTAATGTATGTGTCAACATTTTCAATTAACATAGCAATTTTGTTGCTCGTATTACTCCACCTTTAGTGCATGCATGGGATCATGAACAGGCGCTATCTTCGAGAAGGCAGGCCTTTGCTCGAAACGTTCACGTTCTGGGTATATTTTTCAAGTTGAGTTGATCCTGTGATTTCTGATACAAGGTAATCAATGCAAGTCATATACCATGCCTGTGTACCTTGCTTATATGCAGTTTTTGTATCCTGAAATAGTATAGTTATTAAATCTTACCATCCAGAAAGTTCCAAACATATTGCCCACTCTTTCTCACACAGATCAGAACTCCATCGTCCCCTGAAGCCTTACGATACAATGTGTGGTTCCCTTCTTTTGACTTCGAACAAAAAGATAACTGCAAAGGAAGATTAAAAAAATAGCACTCAGTTTTTTGGTATTCTGCACTATATTCTTTTAGGATTTCATATGATATGGTCAATGGTCATCTAGTAAAAATCCGAAGACTAGTATTAGTAACTTTCCGAAGAAGTGCCTTCGCACCAACTGTTCAAGATTAAAAATCCAAAACTATATTTTTCCTGTCCACATATTGAGCTAGCTATCAATTCAGCTAGTATTATAGGACTTAATTATCAATATATTATTTGCGTCCATACTGCAGATATACAGAAACTAGTAATGTTCCTATTATTATAGCCTATACAGGTGTATTTCGATACTTTTTCTGCGCTCTTGCTTGCTATTTAGCTACAAAGTCAAAGTTAAGTTTAATATACCTTTCCTTCAGCAGTCAACCATTGCACAGCTATTAGTACGAGGACCAGAACTGATTTGCGAACATTTTCTGATCGTAGAGAAATCTTCATTTTATATTTCGCCTGCAAGCTAATTTTCCAAGTGTTTCTTCTGGGAATGTCTGTTGCTTAATGACGCAAGTTTACCAGTTTTTCGCGCTATCATTGTTTTGAGGAAAGCGAAAAACAGAATTGAAAGTTTCCGTTTCAGCAAAACGTAAGCCCTTGATTGACATGTATATTGACATTGTCCAAATCCAAAGGGTTTATTGATGGCTGCGACATCGATGATATCAACACCACTACACCAGAAAACTCAATTACGAAGGAATCTACATTACTAAAGGTGGATATGGACAATACAAAACCCATTTTCAGGTCTAATGCATGTGTTTAAACCTTGCGCTCAGGTCCAAAAATATCACATCACATGCTCTGCTTTGGACTCCACCCGGAGTAATTTGCCGTACAAACTTTACTATGTCGTTAAAGTCGTTTGTGCAGAAATGTTGTCAATTTTATAATTCGAGTTAATAATAATTATATTTATTCAGGATACCCACATCACATACGTGTTTTTTTAGTGGCGTCCTAGCTGCATCGAAACTACAAATATTACTGATTGTCAGTATTTAAACTGTATAAAAATATATACGTACACGGTACAGGTTCAATTCATTCAATCGTTTTGAAATCCAATGCTACTGACTACTGTATAGCAGGCTCCGGGCATAGATATCTTATATAAACTAGATAGCGCATCTCTTTTAGTAAAATTGAAGCCAAGAATATCCCAGCGGTTACCCCCATTTGAATAGATGGCGGCCATGTTGGATCTTCCCACTCGCTAATAAACGCTTAAAAAATCACAATAACTTTCATCATTTGAATAGTTTGAAAATGTATTTATAATAGGATTAATTTAATGTTTAAGTTCCCTGTTTAAGAAATAGGATACATACGAATCTTCTCATTTCATGGGAAGATCCTGAGCCTGCAATCACGGCTTCAATTTTTGAATTGCAGAATAATTAGATGCGCTATCTAGTGTATATAAGATATCTATGGCTCCGGGACAGAGACGCCGAGTTTATCCCTTACGGAAAATTCACATATCATGATCGTTTCGCATGACCCATGCAAATGCTATATATTTTCTGGGTATACATCCCACGTGATAAACTCATAAACTAAGCCTGCATCAAAGATTAGATACTATAAAGATGTGCCACTCTGCGAAAATTATGTCCGAGATTTTTTTATAGCCGCCATTTTGCCAGTAAGTGTCAAATCCAACGCCATCAGTCTCTAAATAGTAAAATCCAACACCATCAGTCTCGCCGCCATTTCGGCAGTAAGTGAAAATTACGGACACGCAAACATTAAGGAAATACGTCGAGTGGCACATCTTTATAGTATCTAATCTTTGCCTGCATGCATGCATGCAGAGTTGTCGGTGGGCAGCCCACGATCATGGCGAAATAAAATATATGCACCATTGTGGTTACAATAAACATGAAAATCCCAGCGTGTCTACCGATTCGTAACTTTCGTACATGTCTATATAGTATAGAAAATTGATGACAAAACACTTGAACACTAGGCAACCGCTACACGCCTCCAGAAAACCGGAAGTGTTCGTTACAAAGGTTTCACTCCATTTTATTTTAATTTTTGTGTACAAAATTGTTCGTTCAAAACAACTGGTTTGTTTTAATCCTGACAGTTTTTAAAGTCCACTTATACTAAAGTGCTTTGTTTTTCCCACGCATACTGTAATATGGCCACAAAAATATTTATATTAGCAAAAATACTAGACAAATCTTCCGAATAGGACTTGTCAGGTTTTTTTTTACCAAAATATTAATTGGACGAACGTTTGACAAAATAATGTGTGGTAAAATACTGCAATGGACAAACTAAAACAGTGTTGGGCTTATTCTCATAGTCTGGTTGACCACCATGGACTGGTGGGGCACCCATGCAAGGCTTTCCCCTTGCAAGTATGAAGTATCAATCGGATTCTTTGGGACAGTCTTCCCGTTCATATCACTGAATGTACCTCTACATTTCCTCTTTCAAACACAATCTGTATTCTCACTAACTTTCCAAAATTCATTCTACCTTTGACGTCAATAGAATACGCACTTGGGAGGCTTATTAGATAGCTTAAGATCTACGACGTCGACGTCAACTAGGACGTCAGGGCTGAGCAGAGGGCTGGGACTAGGACGTCGTCGCGATAGCTTAAGATTTACGATGTCAAATATCTAGGACTGCAAGTGCGCATGTGTGTCTCTCAATTGCTTGTCGTCCACCCAGTGACCCAGACGTCGACAACTTCACAAGAGGAATTTTGCCGTCGTGGATACCTAACTATAAAAGGGCATAACAAACGGTAATGAATTCACGCGTTAATGAATTCACGCATAACAAACGGTAATGAATTCAAAAGGATGTGAATATTTATAGTTTAAAGGTCGACGTCGTGAATCTAAGTGGATGTTTATTTATTTAGGACACCGTACTAGTACCAGTCCTCTGCTCAGCCCTGACGTCCTAGCTGACGTCGTAGATCGTAAGCTATCTATATATGTTCCAAGTGTCGTTCCTATAATCCAACTTGTTGCTCGGCTCTTAATTAAAGGTTAATGTCACGCACTATACGCATGTGTTAATTTGTTCAAATATATCAGCGTGTAAAAGTGTGTGTCTTTAAATATTTGGGTTGGTCTCAATTTTTAATCCTTATCCTGTTGACTATACTTTCAACCAGGGCCGTTGCGAAGGGATATGGATTGGGGGGGTGTCGAAGGTCAAATTGCCGAGTGACGCCAGTTGAATTTGCCGAGTTTTTCAAAAGTTTGTATAGGTAATGAGAAGAAAAGT